ATCTTAACGTTGCTACCCATCGACACAGCGCTCCGATGGATCGAAAATTTTTCCTCCCCACGTCACTTCAGTGCAGCGAAAACTATTTCTTAACGGCAGAAGTGATGACTGATGATGATGATCTTAACGTTGCTACCCATCGACACAGCGCTCCGATGGATCGAAAATTTTTCCTCCCCACGTCACTTCACAGCGCTACTTCACAGCGCTTAACGCGCAGATGTGGAAACTGATGATGATGGCCTCAATTATTTCACGGCATTATTGGTACGTATTGTTCCATATTTTGTTGTTCCATATTTTGTATAACACGTCACTTCAGCGCTCCGATGGATCGAAAATTATTCCTCCCCACGTCACTTCAGTCGATCGAAAACTATTTCTCACAACGCTTAACGCGCAGATGTGGAAACTGATGATGATCTACGTATTGTACCATTTTTTGTTGTACCATATTTTGTATAACTCCTTTATAACCCCTTGACTTCTTTGTAACCTCTTGAACCCTTTGAGGCTCTAACAGGAATGTTTTGGACAGCAAATAATATGGGGCCGGTATTCGGAAGAGTGCCCGTTTCATTTATATTACCGTAGGCTAGGCCTTAGGGCACCTAGGCGTAACCGTCTTAGAGTGTATTAAATTTACACATCTGCAGTTTTCTCGATTGTAGTGTTGATAATCTTCCCACACTTGGTTTGGGCCACTGGCCCGCGACGATCCCCATTTTCAAAATTTTGGCCCGCGAGTAAACTTAGTTGAATCACGACCTGCTCCAGCTGACAGGCTAGAGCCGGTCGTGGTTGAATAGCCCATGAACCAATTTATTGCTTGGTATATTTTGCTGGACACCGGTCGTCAGGTGCGTGACTACAGTGTTTACAGCTATAAAATTGTATGTCAGCTTCCACCTTATGGTTCATTAATCGGATTATTGACAGTGATTCACTTCCATACACCACCATTGTCCTACAGTGTATATTATCTGTGGGTTTTTTCATTAGCTTTTCCAGATAGATAGTTTCCGGGTGTCCAGTGTATTGATTTCATGCCTTTTAAAAACCACAAATGAACAAACACAAAAAGGCAGCTAGACGTCCTGGGAAGGGGATAAACCGCACTCATCGGCAAACAAAACCAAAGTAAACTACGTCTTTTTCTTCTGTCTTTGATCCTCCATACGTCCGTTGTTCATTGTAATTAATTTTGTAAAGCTGACATAAACTATATGGTTTTTTCCTTACTCTTTCTCTTCTCTTCCCTATAATTTCCCACCCTTTTTAAACCTTAGTTTGCTATATCGTGTAGCTCAGCTCTTGTGTTTCTCATCTTTTTCACTTCACTCTGCAGTCACATTTTGCTTATATTTTCCCAAGGTTGTTCTATCCAACGCCAGCTTCTTTTCCTCATCTCTCGGTTCACTGGAATGCGTTTAGTTCTCTCCCAAAACTCTTCGTAAGCCATTATGTCATACCATATACTCGTAATTCCACATATTCTGCACATATTGTTTGTAGTGTATTAGTACATGTTAACTGTTTGTAGTTTTTGCTTGTTGTCTGAGTTTCTATTAAACTACGGAAACAAGGAAAAAAAACGGTCCTTCAAAAATTAAATTATTTTTATTTTCGTTTATCAAGCTTTCTGATTTACCTTCGATCTTTATTTATTCTTCGTACCAGCTCTAGATGCCCTGAAAAACGAATGCCTGCCAGAATTTATGATCCGGTGCATCCTAGGGAGGCGAATAAATCATAAAAACTGGCACTCGGTGGGAGATGTGTTCAACGTCAAGCCAGTCACCTTTCTTTCCCATGACATTGGCCATTTTAGGCAGGACCGACTTCAGAAGCAAAGTCAGTTTTGAAGACAAAAATCCACACCACCGCTGTGTCAAAATATAAAACATAAGAATGCGACAACATATTGGGCACAATTGAAGCTGCACTAGGAGAAGGAATCACAACACACTGACATTAGAAACACATTGATTGAGGAAGAGACGGTGCCGAGTCAAACAAGACAAACGTTTCTAGGGGTGCCCAATTGGACTTCATTCATAACATTGAGTCAAGATACTGCATAAGATAGAACGGCACTGCAGGATGATAATAACTCTTCGTACTTATATTATCTTCGCCACCTCAAAGCTCTGAATAATTTGCCAGCTTATTCCAGGAATATTCGTTTTAAAATCTATCTATCTAATCTATCTATCTATCTATCTATCTATCTATCTATCTATCTATCTATCTATCTATCTATCTATCTATCTATCTATCTATCTATCTATCTATCTATCTATCTATCTATCTATCTATCTATCTATCTATCTATCTATCTATCTATCTATCTATCTATCTATCTATCTATCTATCTATCTATCTATCTATCTATCTATCTATCTATCTATCTATCTATCTATCTATCTATCTATCTATCTATCTATCTATCTATCTATCTATCTATCTATCTATCTATCTATCTATCTATCTATCTATCTATCTATCTATCTATCTATCTATCTATCTGTCGGTCTCTCTGTCGGTCTCTCTGTCGGTCTCTCTGTCGGTCTCTCTGTCTGTCTCTGTCTGTCTGCCTGTCTGTCTATCTATCTATCTGTCTATCTGTCGATATGTCTGTCTGTCTGTCTGTCTGCATTTGACCCCCACCCTTTTCCAGGCGATCAGCTTACAATATTACTTCTCCTTCAAGTAAGCCAGGTGTTTCACGTTTCAGAGGCGCCAAAGCTTAAAACTAAATACAGAGCCTGCATTAATTTCTCACGCATGTGTTTTGTCGATTCTGGCACATCTGTAGAAGGTGAGCTGGGGCAACTAGGTTACTGCCTCGTCGTTGTGTGTAAGATTCCTGCCTTCTCGGCACACTACCTTGCGGTTTGCTATACTGTGATTATGGGTTGTCTGCTTCTACGAAATTGGGCAGTTCTAGTTTCCGAACTCAGCCGTTTTCAAGGATGATGATAAAATCATGCACTTGTTTTGACTCGCTGTAAGTTATTTATAATTATTTCCGATATAAATTACATATTAAGGCATTATGAATTGCATTTATTGTTATCAATAACGAATACCAGTAAGAACGGCAGCAGTCGTGCCTGGTAAAGTTTACTTTAAATATACCAGAGAAAATGTATCTGCTTATTTTATTATGGAATTAAATGCAGTTACAAACGTAGAATAAATTAAATAGTAAGAAAGAATCACAAATGTACAGTTTTCAGTAGGAACTAAACAGATTCCAATCAATCAACGGGTGGGGAAAAGACGCCGGCACTGGAGATGACACACGTTGAGACAATCTGAAAGTTGTAACACTATAACTATAATATATTTGTACTGGAACCAGCAGGGTCAAATGAATAAAGGCCGACCAAAAACCGTATGGAGAGGTGAATTAGAGAGGCGGTAAAACATTTCGGGAGGGCATGAGGTGAGCTGCATGCTGTAGCAAAGGAGAGAACGACTTGGCGTGAGTTATTTGAGGGACTGGACCACTTTAGGGGATAAAGGGTAGAAGAACAAGAAGAAAAAGAAGAAATGTATAATCAAAACGTGGTATGATTTCTCTTCTGCTGTGTTCATTAGTTTAGATGACGGCAATAAATTCCGCCCCAGTTGGCCTATCTTTCAGGAGGAGGGCCCAGTGTTTCTCAACTTGTGGACTGCAAGTAAGTGAACGAAATATTTCTACCATGCGAGGCCTACTGGACAATACTGATATCCAAAGGTTTTTAAGGATCATCGGGCATTTGATGTGTGATGTTACAACATTAGGCAGGTCATTTTTATTTCCCAAACAATTTCTGTATATACATTTTTAGCAGTCATTTATAAACAAACCTTATTTCACATAATTTTAATTAGTTGCATAGAGTAGAAACAGTTAAACACAAAAATATGATATGTAAAACAAGCTTGTTTAACTATATTTATTGACAGTGTGAAACCTCAGTGACACAGTGATAATTTAGGTTTGCATTACCAGTCTTGTGCTGGTTTAACCGCTAGCAGTGACTATATTTTCTTTTACCAACAAGGCTATTAAGCAACTTCATCTTAAACCTCAAAAGACCTGAGCTCCAGGGTTCAGGCGACTATGCTGGTCTGTGTACTGCCAGAAGAAGAAGAAAACATTGAGCTTCACTACAGTATTTCACATAATCTATAAAACTTGGTCAACAGATGATCATCCCTGACATCAAACCATCATAGCACTGTCTTCTGACCTCACCTATTCTCAGCGGCTGTTCTTGCAGTGTGGGTCACAGTGACAGTCATTGCTTCATTTGTGTAATCATCTTACATCTTGTAGACCATTCATCATGGTCTAGTGCCCAGCCGCCTCACAGCCCTGTTCTGTAACAGTTTGCGTTATTCATAAACTCCAAGTAATAATAAGATCATCTGAGAGTTTCACTTTCACAGAAGTCTTGGTACAAATGGACTAAACCACATATTATAACATATATGACTATTTCACACGACCAAAACTCCAACATAAATTACACCATGAAATGGTTTGTATTGTTGAAAATATCGCATTATTCTTTCCTGTCTGTCCCATAGTCATAGTCTACATTATCACTAAGTAAGATTTTAACAATTAACCTGGACTACAAGTTTCACTCAGTCTAAAGTGCCACAAAATATCCTGGGAAGTAATGGCAGTCAGTGCGATTCAGGATGACGTGATCAGCAATGGAGAGCTAATCAGAAATAACATGTCTACATTGAATGCCCCAAGTAGAGGAAATGGGATCTTTACTGTTAATGCTTTTTGAACTTTTTAAAAATTACCTTATTTGAAAAAAAATATTATGTATAACAACTCTTTTATTAACAACTCTGATCAAATCTACAAGCACTCATGATTGCTGTTCAGTTTATACAAGAGGAACGGTAAATAAAATGTGCAGAAAACAAGTTTTTTTTAAAATGTTTTTTTTTTCCCCCAATCTATCTGCAGATTTCAGTTTAAGATGTGTAGAAAATCATCTTACAGAATCTGTCAGCACCGCAGGCACAAGTGTGTCTCCTGCATTACTGTCACTGTTATTGTTCTTGGCTTGATCTTGGCTGTTCTAAATCTCTACCAGCTGCAGTGTATGAAAGCTGAAAACAAGTAAGTACATACAGCAATCTTCTTTTCTTCAGCTGTCTTGAAACTACTTCTACTAAGATTATGTTAAACAGAATACACTCTGCTTTTTCTACAATGGGGAAGTTCTTAGAAACAAGAATACATCTACTACTTTACAATTGTCTAATGTTAAAAATGGAACACGTGTATTTTATGTTTCTCTGCAATTAACAATGACTTCAAACAGTATTATCTCATGAAAACATAATGATTATCAGTGTATAAGCAGTTAACATAATGCTATCAGGATCAGCAATGACTTCAAACAGTTAGTATTATCTCATGAAAACAAAATGATTATCAGTGTATGAGCAGTTAACATAATGCTATCAGGATCAACAATGACTTCAGGCAGTCAGTATTATCTCATGAAAACATAATGATTATCAGTGTATGAGCAGTTAACATTTAAGAAATGTTGGGACTCACATTTCTCCTTGTTGTTCCCTGTATGTTATTGTGAGTCTATCCCTTTCATTCTTATATTCATATCTGCATTGTCCAGTAATGAATTATTGCTTCCAGTGTATAAATGAAGCTATAAAAGATTAAAAACTGACACTACATCACTCTGGGCATTCTATAAATTCTCCATGCCTTTCTTCAGGAGCCAGTGCGGGGCTCGAATACTAATGGTACCAGTTGTAGTATAAGTTCTATGTTCATCTTGCCTTTCCTTTGAGAAAAAAGTGTTCTTGTTATTTTGAGAGTTTATATAAGATTTAAATCCTAAATTATGCAGTGCATGCTAAGATAATCTGCTTACTAGACCCAGTGAAATTATCAAGAACATGGAATGGCAGTGTGTATCTAGATATGAAGGAGAATACTGAAGTAAAAACATTGAAGACAAAGACACAGGTAAACTTTTTGCAGTTAAAAAAAATGGAAGACAGAATGCATTTAATATGCAATAAAAACAAATATTCAGAATTATCCTTAGCAGTTATTTGTTATTCAGATAATCGATGATGTCTTGTTACTGTCTCTTCAGACTGCATGAGTTAAAGAAGCTCTCGGGGAAGGAAGCTGCAGCAAATACACATCTGGTTACCAAGAGGCCAGTTGTTTGGATTCACGGTACCATCAGGTCAAAAAATAATGGCCGCACTGGTTACCTCAAGCATGTATTTTTAGTTTTTGAGAAATTTGGTTTTTCTTTTGGTGAGAAGTCATCTGACTGGATTGTTGCATGGTTTCATGATTTTCCTTTTACAAATTATGCAGAGGTCATGAAGAATCTGAAACCGTACCAGAAAGTGAACCACTTGCCTGGATCTGGTTACCTCACCAATAAAGTCAACTTGGCACAGACCAATCTGAATTTTATTCCTAGAGCTTTTGAAATACCAGCAAAGAAAAAGCAGTTTGTGGAATATGCTAGTAAACACAGAAATACCACCTGGGTGCAGAAAAGTAATCAACACAGAGGAATACTGTTGAAAAGTATTGACAATATAGACCTTTCTGTACAAGGAACCTTTGTCCAAGAATACATTGCCAAACCGTTTCTGATAGACGGGAGAAAGTTTGATATTGGTGTCTATACTGTCATCACGTCTGTGGATCCACTTACAGTATATTACATTGATGGGGATGCACTTTTTCGCTTTTGTCCTGAGGAGTATTATCCCTTTCATGCTTCAAATACAAATAAATATGTTGTAGGAGATGATTATTTGCCTTTGTGGCAAGTACCCTCTCTAAAAGATCTGTATGAAGAGAAAGGTTTTTCCTTTAAAAACACATTCAATGAATATCTTTCCTCTATTGGAAAAGACCACACAAGTGTGTGGGACAAAATGAAGTCTGCAATCAGAGATATTATTTTAAAGAAAGAGATATATTTAATTGCATCATTGAGGAAATATTCATCTAAATGGAACTTTTTTGAACTAGTTCGTTTTGATTTTGTGATAGATGAAAATTTGAATGTGTTTTTGATAGAATGCAACATGTCTCCAAATTTGTCTTCAGACCACTTTTCTAAAAATGCTGTTCTTTATGAACATGTGCTGTTGAATACATTGAGCCTTGTGGGTGTTTTGTATCAGACTTTTACCTCAAACAAGACAACTGTAGCTTATGAAGAAAATATGCTTGTATCGCCTCAAGATATTACCGTGTTCCCTGACTACTGCAAGGGAAATTTCTGCTCAGAGAACTGCCAGACATTAATATGTCAACTCTGTGAGCCATGTCTACAAGCAGACTTGTTAGTAGATTTGAAGAGAACGTTTTTAGAGCATGTGCAGAGAGGATCATCCCGCCGAATTGTCCCACCCTCTGTTTCACAAAAAGATGCTCTTGAATGGAGTCCTGGAATAGATTTGCCAGTGTCCAAATATTTGAATACAAAGAACAGACTCATTTATTTATGGTTTGTTGGTAAATGTCGTCAAGATGCTGGATGGTGTCACTGAATTCAGCAACACTGAATGTGTCTTTACTTCACTATAATTTTCTTCAGACTTCAGCTCCGCTTGACATGCTTAACTGGTTTTATTTTTTTACACCTATATTTTATAGACCAATCGGCACTTGATGGGTGATGTGCTCAGCATCACGCCAGCCACCTTTACTTCCCAGGACTACACCTGGTACTCATTCAAGGCTGGGTCGATCTGGTAGCCATCTGGTAGGGGGGGGGGGTCGATAGATCCATGGTCTCCTAACAAGAATAGTTTGTTTCTTTCTAAGACAGAATATATTTGCCTAAGAAGTGATCAACCAACGGTCTGGTTTTAAAAAAAAAATGTTGATCTGTAAAATAGGTACACATGCAAAAACTTAAGTTCTGAAACAAGACTAAAGTTCTTCTTCTGCATATATCCGAAGTTATAAATGTGTTGTGCCCATTTACAAAATGGTTGCGATATTTGCACCTTAGGCTGACACATCTGACTTCTGCAGGCATTTGTTTCCCATACTAGCAATTGCCGTAACTTAAGTTCAGATGTGGATAAACAATCAGAACTTTCTGTCGGAGTTTACAGTTGATGAACACGAAGAAGAAGAACAGTTTGTTGACTGTTGCTCCAGCTTGGTCAACCTTGCATCATTACTACTCAGAAAAACAAAGATTTATTTTATGTGCCTTGAGCTGGTGCTGAATAAATTTTTTTCAATGAATCAGAACCACTTGCTAAAGTTTTAATTTTTCTATTTTTCGTCCAGTTAAAAAAATTTTTTACTTTGAACTTTTGTTACACATTTCTACAGAAAACTGTAAAACAGAGCTTTAAAAACTGTGCCACGACACAGTATTGAGTTTGCTGCTGTGTGAAGGTGCCTTGTATGAATTTGAAGTGTTTAACAGAATAATTGTCAGGCAGTTATGCACCGTCAGCATTGATATAGATCCCTGTAATATTTGCATGCACACTGTTGCGTGCTAACTGGGCATTTATACCAGAGGTGATGGAAAGGTGCCAGATGATTCTTCGAAATATGACAAGCTATCAGAGAATGTTCTGGATTTTATTCACAGTTTGGTGCAACTACTTAATTCCTCAGATGGCGGGGTCTCTGAGATGGTCCCTAGAGGTTGGTTATGGCAGTCAGTGAAAGATGGATTCTGTACATTGGGCAAGAGGTGCCCGTAGCAGCCATCAGGACATAGAGTGCAAAGATGTATTGTGTTATGTCCAGTTGTGGAGACTGGCGAGAACTATTGAGACTGTGTGTCCTGTAGTGTACTAGCAGAGCATACTTGAATCGAACTTGTTTCAGGTGCCAAGTTACAGTCTCCAATTGGTTTACAGAGAACTGTTCGGACATTGTACCAGTATTTATTGAGCGAGTGATCCCTTAGTTGGACAAGAGTTACTTATTCATCTTACATCACCAGTTCCTCATCATCATGTGCTCGTCCTTATTCAACAAGACTGATGGCAATATTTAAATCATATCTTGATTGATTTATTAGTTTCGTTCAGCAGTTACTGGTTTCTCTAAGACTTAACTAGTGTTAGACCCAAAATGGAATGACCTCAATTAATCATAAACCCTAGATGCTTGTCAGATGGTGAAATGGTATATAAGGCGGTGTGATATCGCAACCTATTTCACAACATACAGTGCAGGGCTTACACATTTTAAAGCAATTTCATGTCATATTCTTAACTTTGTTTTTATACTGGTTGGTGGCTTTAATTGTTGAATGGTATGGGTTGTCAGTGTCTCTTACACTTCCGATTATTTACTAGACTGAATTACTATGTTACAAAATTAAGTTTGTCTTTAAACAAAATATCACCAATATGTTAAATTAAAAAAGCTCTGCCGTAGTGTTATACAATTTTTTTTTTTTTTGGGTCTTCATCAAAGATTAGCACAAGTAGGATTATTTCTCCAATTCTCTTTCTTGTTTATATCAATGAAATCTAAGATAGGTAATTTATATTGTGATAATTATGACACAGAGAAATGAATAAACCTAGCGTTTAGTTTGCATAGAGCCTCATTTATTATGAAGATACATCTTGGAAAGAAATTGAAATTAATACATTTACGGAAAAATCTAAAATTTCCTTTTATTTATTTACAATAACTTTTTTTTTTAAATCAAAGAAACTGGCTGATTAGCCAAATCCAGAACATATATTGGCTAAAGAATAGCATATTTTTTGCGTCGTGGATTTCAAGGGCTGCCTGCAAGAAATCGTTGCTATACAACAGGCTGTTTTCGAGAAAATAGATTGCAAGCGTGTACATGAATTTCTGAACAGACTATAGGCAGGGATTTTTAATACTCACGCTCCCAGTTTGAACAGGAAAAGTTTGTATTAAGACACGTTGTAGGAAATAAATAGGGTCAGTGTTTTTATGTTACTAACAACATGACCGATTGAGTGCTGATTCATTCATTCATTCAGTAGCATGTCCCTCGCGGAACCTCGCTGCCATAACAACCCTCCGGAAAACCTTCCTATCATGAGCAAGATGTCCTGCGTCTGATACACCCATCTGGAGATCATCTGCCACATCCTGCACCCATCTTCTCCTTGGCCTTCCTCTTCCTCTCTTCCCAGGCATATACCCCTCCATTATTGTTCTCTCTAGACCTCCATGACGTTTCAAGTGACCAAAATATTTCAATTTTCTTTGTTTTATTGTCTTTACTAGCCAACCCTCTTCAATATTCAGCTCTTGAAGTATGGATGCATTTGTTCTTTTCTTTACCCAAGATATTCTTAGAACCTGTCTGTAACATTTATATTCAAATGCATTTATGCGCTGTTCCGCTTGTTTAGTAAGTGTCCAGGTCTCACAGGCGTATGTTGCAATGGGAAAGATGCATGCTCTTAAAAATCTGACCTTTGTAATTCTATCTGTACAATTCCATAATTTATTCAGTTGTTTTAGTCCTTTGAAGAGCAATTGATAGTCGCCGTTTAATTTCTTTCATTTGTGTCACCATTGTTGGTAACCAGTGACCCAAGATATTCGAAATTTTCCACCACTTCCAATCTTTCCTCATTAACATATATTTCCTTCTCCATGGCAGTTTTGTTTGTATGCATTATCTTTGTTTTTGCTGTGTTAAGAAATAAGTTATGATTTTCACTATTTCTTTGGAGTGAGGTTAATAAGTTTTCTAAACCATTTTGTGATGTTGATAGTAATACTGTATCATCAGCATAACGAATTTCTGGTATTTCATGACCACCGATGTTTAGGGCATCATATTGTTCCTTGTTTATATCATCTCTTCTTTACATTTCTCATTATATTTTTCGTGCGTACAGGTTGAACAAATACGGTGACAGCACACATCCCTGACGGACTCCTTGCTTGATGCCAAAACCAGTCTGATGTCTCTCCATCTATTCTGACTGCTGCTTGTTGGTCTTGATAGAGCATTTTAATGAGCTGCACTATATGTGATGGAAAGCCCATATTCCTCATGATTTCCCAAAGCTTCTGATGTTGTACACAGTCAAATGCTTTTGAATAATCCACAAAACATAAGAACAGATTTACATTAAATTCTCTACACTTCTCTATTATTAAACGCATGTTGAATATATGATCTCTTGTTCCTCTTCCCTGTCTAAATCCAGCCTGAGCTACATTAATCTCTTCTTCCATTTTCTTTGCAGTCTTCTCATTATAATTTTTAGTAGAATTTTACTTGCATGACTGATCAGGGCAATAGTTCGATAGTTTGTACATAATTTCAGGTCACTCTTTTTTTGGTATTGGAATGAAGATAGTTCTCTTCCCAGTCTTTTGGCCAAATACCATATTTCCATATCTTTTCACATAATGCATGATAGATTTTTATGCTTTCTTCTCCTCCCGCTTTAATCAATTCAGCTGGTATCTCATCACATCCAGGTGATTTACCATTTTTCAGGCTCCTTATTGCCCATGAAATTTCATCTAATGAAGGTTCAGGTTCTGCCTCTACTGTTACTGGTTCATGTATATCATTCATATCCTCACTGTCATTCATATCATACATTCCGCTGCAGTATTCCTGCCATCTTCCAAAAAAAAAAAAAAAAAAAAAAAAAATAGAATTTGTCTAGATTCTGTTAAAGTATTTCCCAACCTGTCACAAATAACATTTAACTGAGGTTGAAAATTTCTTGTCAATAACTTCATTTCCTTGAACATTTCGTAATCTCTTCCATTTTTGTGATGCTGCTCTATTTTAATACAGCAATCTTGTACATACTGATTTTTATCCTTTCTTGTGTACTTTCTTATTTCTCGTGTAAAAAATTTATACTTCATCCTACTATCATTGGTTTCTCCTTTCTTTTTCAGTTCTCTTCGTTGTTTTTTATTAGTTCTAACGTGTATGGTGTGATCCATGGTTTATGTTGCTTAGTCCTGGTGGGTATTAAGTCTTTAGCTGCTGTTATCAAGATATCCCTAGCTTGTACCGCCAGTTCATCAGGTGTCATTTCCTCTTGTACAGACATCAAGACCTCAAAACGGTTCTTCACTTCTACGTTGTATGCATCTGGTATTTTTTGTGAGATCAAATCGAAATGGCCTTGGTCCTCGGGTAAGCTTTTTGAGTTTTAATTTTAGATCTGCTTCTAGTAACTGATGATCTGTATCGCAATCTGCACTTCGCAGGGTTTTTGCAGATGTTATGCTCGATCTCCATCTTCTTTGTATTAAAATGTAATCTATCTGATTTTTGGTAACACCGTCAGGGGATGTCCATGTGAAAAGCCTTCTAGGGTGTTGTTTATAAAGTGTGTTAGCTATTGTTAATTCATTTTCTATGCAAAATTCAATCAATTTTTTCTCCTGTTTCATTTCTATTACCCAATCCAAATTTTCCTAAAACGTGTCTCTCATTTTCATCTCTGCCTGTACCTACTTTAGCATTAAAATCTCCCATTATTATTATTATATCATTCTGATTAATTTTATTTAATGTGTCTTGCAGTATGGCATA